AGGAAGGCTAACCCACATGTTCGTATGGTTGCACCCAATCTTATAATGGATATCAAGGATGTGCGGAGAGAGATTGAAAGGTGAGTGAATGTCACTCTTCCAGTGTCTATCTTACTGAGCATCTACTACTTCTGTAGTTGTATCTCATGGGAACTTCCTGGTGAAGTTCCATATGAAACGACACTCAAACTCATTGATCGTTTTACGAAAAAGTGGCCCACTCCTTCCGAGGAATGTTTCAGTGATGTATACAGGGCATCGTCAGTGTACATCCAGAAGTTGGTTGCACAGCATTTTGGACAGTTCAAGCTTCTAGAGAAGTACATTGGGTTTGTTTCTTCCGTTCGTCTGTCCTTCCTACCTTGTCTGAAGCCTTGCAACTATCCAGGGAACTTGTGCGCTCACAGATGGAGATCTACAAGAGCGAGGCGCTCGTCATACTCCACAAAGCTGTTAAGCTGGAGACTTCCCCAAAGTTTACTCAAGTACCGCATTACTTGATGGAGCGCTCCAAGTGGCTTGAGCGGTTTCATAAGGTGTATAAGGCTTCCAGTACCTACGCCATACACCGATCAAGCCCTAGCGAGCTCAGACTAGCTGAAGTGGAATACTATCCAGTTCGCGAAATTACAGAGGATGAAGAGGCGTTGGTCGTGATGGCCAAGGTCCAAACATATTTTGAAGTGGCTTACAAGGTTTGTCTCTTGTCTGCCCGTCCTTGCCTTCGTTGACTCTAATTGGTGTCTAGCGATTCATTGATAATGTCCCGCTTACTATTGAGCATGAATTGCACCAGACTCTCTCGGATCGCTTATTGGAGAGTCTTATCAAGGATATGGGAGGACCGAATGCTCATGAGAGGGCTAGGGAGTTGTTTAGAGAGGATCCGGTCATCGCGTCAAGGAGGAGTGTATTACAAGAGAGAATTGCAAGGTTGGAGGAGATCAGGGGGAGGTTGTATTCTTTCAGATGAATCTATAAACGTACTATGTCCATGCCGTATCGTTATATATAGCTGAATAGCAACATATTATGTCGTCCTATCCTTGGTATTTCTGGAGACATCGGCCCGGTGATATCACGTCAGCGCTCGAGTTTTTTGTGATCAATATTGTAACTTCAAATTCCCCCTTCCTCAGCCATCCACCCCATCCGTCATCAGGTTGACGTATCGTCGTCTATCTACACAGCGACTAGTCACTGTGGACCCCTAGCGTTACGGGCCGGCACTGGTAATGAAGGAACCTTGGTGTGTCGACTTATTGACTCATCCTTCTCATTACTCACTTTACGTTTTGAGGTAACAACAAGCACCACCCTCAGATAATAATCACATTTTTTTTCGTCTCAGGGCTTAGCAACAGCCATTGTGGATATTTTTCTATACAGTACATAGCGCACGCACAAGCATCGGTCGGGCAAACTATTCATCGTGTATATCCAAATTCCTTTTCTCCTCAAGTGTTCTAAACAAAATACCATTCAATGATCCCGATATGGTTTGATGCCCTTGCCGATATTTTCGCTTTAATTTTCAGGAGACTTTCCTCGCGGTTTGTAATGATAGTCCTGCTTAACGTATCATTTTCACAGGGAACTCGTCTACCATGTACACAATGTCTTCGCCTCGCCTCATCACCACTGCACGGTAGGTGCTTTACTACGCTTCGTTGCGGATGACTTTAGGAAGGCAAAATAAGCGCCATGCATCGTGGTGGTGACACGGGATATAAGGACGATTAGCACGCCTCAGCCCCTTCTTTCCCAACCACCACCAGATGTCATTCCTTGGCCGGCGTACCACCCGCAGGGCCAATACCAACGCTCAGAATGGTACCTCAAGCAATGTTCCTCCCCCTCCCCAAACAGATTCCCCGCCCTCTGAGCCAGACCAAGAGAGCACTGCCGTCGCCATCAACCAGACGGAATACGCGAGGAGATGTCGGCAGGTCATGGAACTGTATCGCGCTCTTCAGGACCTAGGGTTCGTGGATGCCGCTTCTTTCAGACGTATACTTATACAGCCACCCATCACAGTGCCGATAGACTGTTTCCAACGCTGCCAAAGATCATAGTTATCGGTGGTCAATCTAGTGGGTCATTTCTTGATATTAATACCCAAGTCATATTGATCCACGTCTGTGATCAGCTGGAAAGAGTTCGCTGGTTGAGGCCGTGTCCGGTGTATGCCTATGCTTTTCTCTTGGCTGTCACGTTCTCTCATTATCATCTAGATCAATGTACCGAGGGACAGTGGTACTTGCACCAGGTAAGTGCACCGCAATCATTCCCTGCGCGATCTCACTCCTTTCCCAGGTGTCCGATGGAATGCACGATGCTGAGTTCATCCCCCACGTGGTCGTGCACGATATACCTGAACGTCAAGTATGGCATAGACGGTAGCGAACTCGCCATCCCAAACAGGATCCGGTTTGGGCCTCTTATCACAAACAAGGACGTAGTCGAGCTATGGATCCGCCGAGCTCAAGCAGCGATCCTCGGCTATCATCGGCGTGCGAAGGAGGATTTCTCTAACATGACCATGGAGGAGCTCCGCAATCTTGTTACGACTGACTCAGAGATGATGTTACCTTTCTCCAAGAATATTGTTCAAGTCGAGCTCAGAGATCCACTGTTGACGGATCTGTCGTTCGTTGATCTACCCGGTATGCCCCTCTCATTTTGGTCTCCGTGTCCTGACTGTTACTTTGGCAGGGATTATTCACAATGCGGAAGAAGAAACTATCACGCTTATCAATGGCTTGGTTACATCCTATATCGAAGAATCAGACAATACAATTGTCCTTATCACCATTCCGATGAGTGGTGCGTTTTTTTCCTCTGACACTACGTATGCCCTTCTCATGTCTATACAAGACGATATCGAGAATCAAGCCGCCGTCAAACTCGCCAAGTCCCGAGATCCCGATGGTGATCGCACAATCGGTCTAACTCTTCCTTTCTCATACTTTTATGACTGACCCTAATTGTTTCGTACAGGAGTGTTGACCAAGCCGGACATGCTGACAGTAGGCGCCTCTGGTGCGCGTCAAAAGTGGAGAGACATCATTCTCGGGCAAGAAGAGAAGCACAAGCTCAAACATGGTTACTATTGCGTTCGTCTCCCGGACGACGATGAACGCAGGCGCAAGATTTCGCGAGACGAATCACAAGCATTAGCTAAAGTTTATTTCGAGAACAATTCCCCCTGGAAAGAGTTCGTCGACCGCAGTCGTTTTGGTATACCGTCCCTTGTGCATGATATCAGCCGGCTTTTAGTCAGGCTTATCGAGAACTAGTATGTGTTCTCTTATTTGCGTGTACTTGGGCGCATTCTCATTTCTCTCAAAGTATTCCAACCTTGAAGAAAAGCGTCGACGATATCCTCGCGAGAGATAGAGCGGAGCGGAGCGCACTCCCTCCACTACCGCCTACTGGCGAGGCTTGGGCCCAAATTACCCTTCTCATCCATAAGTTCTGCGTTGACGTCCAAGCTGCCATCGAGGGGAAGGAAGAACACAAGGGTCTCGTACAGTGCAATCGCGCTAGGTATGCGCAATTCAAACGCGATATCCTCGGGACGTGCCCCAATTTTCGACCATTCGAAGATAAGACCCTGCATTCGGATCCCTGTATCCGGGATGAGGAGTTCGACGGGAAGGACAACCCCTACGCTTACATGGCTGCGTCTGAATATGTCATGGACATAAAGGATGTGAGAGGGGAAATTGAGAAGTGAGTGTGCTTATTGTTCCACGTCCTACCTTACTGAGCTTACCGTGTAGCTGTACTTCGTGGGAGCTTCCTGGTGAAGTCCCGCTGGAAACAACTCGTAGACTCATTGAGCGTTTCACAAAGCAGTGGTCCAATCCTTCTGTGGAGTGTTTTGAGGCTGTGTACGACACCTCGTCGGCATACATACAGACGTTGGTTACGCAGCGGTTCGGACAGTTCAAGCCCTTAGAGACGCATGTTAGGTTCGTTGTCTACGTCCTCTACAATTTGAAGTCTTATGTCTTCCCAGTGCGCTTGTGCGCACACAGATGGAGAATTGCAAGAGCAACGCCCTTGACGTACTCGGCAAGGCTGTCAAATTGGAGACGTCTCCCGTGTTTACTCAAGTACCGCATTACTCAATGGAGCGCTCCAAGTGGTTCAGGCGGTTTCACAGGGCTTATACATACCCTAGTGGCTATGCAATAGACGCGATACAAAGCCCTCTCTACCATAACAGACGTCGCGGCACAGACCTACCACCCCAACCTCCACCCCCGCCTCCTCCAGCTCAAGAGAGAACAGAAGATGAAGACGCACTGCTCGTAATGGCCAAGGTCCGAGCATACTTTGAGATAGCGTACAAGGTCTGTTGTGCTTTTGTCCACACGCCCCTTCTTTGCTGACTCTAAGTGGTATATAGCGGTTTATTGATAACGTTCCGCTCACCATCGAGCATGAGCTGCATCAGTCCCTGCTACATCGCTTATCGGAGAGTCTTATACAGGACATGGGAAGACCAGATGGCAGTCAGAGGGCTAGGGAAATGCTTCGAGAGGATCCGGTGATTGCGTCCAGGAGGAAAATCTTGGACGACAGAATTGCGAGGTTGGAAGAGATCAAGAAGAAGCTTTACGCATTCAGCTGATGCTACATCTGCTCGAGGTATGTACAATTTCGTCTTTTCGATTAAGTACTTGAAAATATTATTTGTCATCCTGGATCTCTGAACTGCGGAACTACAGCAGGGAGTTCTTTGCTCAAGGCCTCATCAGGAAGTCTACTCGATCATATAGTATCCACTACTCTCTCAAACTCCTCTTCTGAAGTTCACACAGCTTAGGCGAAAAAACAGCAACAGATGCTAGACTATACCTCAATCCAGGGGTTGAAAATGACCATGACGGATATAATAAATGCTCGGTAGTAGTGAAGAGCGAAGAATTCAAGGCGGTAAGTGAATGGTATGATAGTGACGTAACCATTACGAAGGCTCGTAATAGCGAGCTCTTGTGGCGTAGTGGTAGCGCGTCGCACTTGTACCCAGGTTTGGTGGCATGCGAAGGTCACTCGTTCAATCCGGGTCGGGAGCATTGCATTTTGGAGCCGCACCTGTCATGTCCTTCTTTTGAAGAACAATAAGATTAAGGCTGCGCACGAAACCTCCTGGGGGGGAGGATTTGATACCATTTTGTATGTACCCTACCTGGGAGGTTTCTTATTGGTCATGGGACCTTTCACATGACTGCTGCAGACTCATTTTCCCAAATTCCTCTCTACAATGCCCATCACACTTTGCTGCCTCATCATCATAGCTCACATACTCAAGAATTCTGTCCCAATACCCATCAGAACTATCTGGCTATGTCATCTTATTTCTTACTGCTTTGCAAAGTGAAATCACAAAAAACTGATGGTAATATTGTCATGTGGTTGGTAAGTCACCTCAATGAAATATGTTCCACTGATCTGTGGTTTCTTACCAGTTTCTTACTGGTAAATTACTGGGCTGAAACCAAGGTGTATCAAAACTGGGGATTTTGTGCACAACCCTAATAAGGTCTAATAAGGCTCTGCACACAACCTCTGGGGGGAGGGGTTAAGAAGCCATTTTGTTAGGGATAGCTTCAAGGGAAATGTACCAACTGTTCAGTTGTCACACCACAGTAATGTGGATATATCAAATGCACTGCACTTCTGTCAGCTGTTACTTACAGATATACCCCCTTTCTGTAGTAGAGTTTTTAATTTTAGTAGTATATATAGTAGCGTACTTTACAATCAAGCCCCTCACACATTTGTGAAGGTTCCCTGCTTCCTCCGAAGTCCCCACTATCTATTACTTGAGCCGTCTGTGCATAGTGTACTTCAACACAAATGTGCTGCATAACCCTTCGAGCTCTTGTCCTGCTCACTCACTGCTGCCACCTGCTGCATAACTGATAGCCCAACATCGAGACTGTTGCAGCCCCCTGAGACCTGTGAGACTATCAGCCTAGCTACGAGAACACAAAGGCTTACCACTGTTTCCCCTCATTCCATCTATTCCCTTTCACCATGTCTTCTGACAACTCTTCCATTCACTTCCCAAAGCTCAATGACTCAAACTATGCCACCTGGAGCATCATGATGGAAGCTGAGCTCATCCGGAAGGGCCTGTGGACTGGTATTGTTGAGATCCTGGTCGATGGAGATGGCAAGACTGCTGATGAGGTTGAGAAGGAGTTCTTGTTGAAGAAGACCAAGCAAGCTGCCTCGAAGATGGCTGAAGCTTGTGCTGAGATGATTTTGCATGTTGATGGTGACCAGCTGCTGCACATGATTTTGAGAGACCCTATGGAGGTTTGGGAGATGCTGAAGAGTGTACACCGAGCCAGAGGATTTGCAACTTCACTGGCATTATGCAGGAAGTTCTTGATGACAAAGAAATGAAATAATCAGTTGATTCAGTCATGGGTGGGAGAGATTTGTGGGCAGGTATTCACCATGCAGATGTCAGGGATTGAAGTGAGTGAT